ATTGGCTGTATTGGTCGAACTGACAACAAACAAACTCTGAAAATTTCTCAACTTGTCGCTTTCCCTCCGCTCCCTCGTCGTCGTCGCCGGTCCGGTGGTTCCTCTCAATTCCTCCGCCGAGACGCCATTAAATTAGGGCGCGAGGGAGAAGGAAGGAAGATGACCTCATCAATCGTCTCTTCGCCTAGATTCTCCCTGATTTCATTTCTCACTTCTCTTCTCTCCCTCGTTTTCGCTATCTCCGTCTCTTCTAATCCCGGCGTCTTCAATGTTAAGTACCGTTATCCCAGGCTTCAAGGCTCCCTGAGTGCCCTAAAAGAGCACGATGACCGTCGTCAGCTCACAATTCTCGCCGGAATCGATCTACCTCTCGGTGGAACTGGTCGCCCTGATATCCTCGGGTTCGTTTCTTAGCAATCTCTCTCCCCGATTCACTCGTTTGAGCAAGGACTTCCATGAAACCCTTACTGGTGACTTAGTGTCTGTTCTCTGATGGCATAGCCTAGATTGTTCGAGAGTTGCAGTGAGAATTTAGACATTTATGCATCTCCTTCATGTCTTGTTTTCATCTGTTTCAGGCTTTATTATGCTAAAATTGAAATTGGAACACCTGCAAAGAGCTATTATGTTCAAGTCGACACAGGGAGTGATATTATGTGGGTTAATTGCATCCAATGCAAACAATGTCCAAGAAGAAGCACTCTTGGTGTAAGTTTCTTGTTTTAATTCTACATTTGCTGATATTCTTGTCAGTTGGCTTGCCATTCGTTGCTCAAACTCAATAGGTGTGTTTTTTCCTTTGCTATATAGATTGAGCTGACGCTCTACAACGTAAATGAATCCAACAGCGGGAAGTTAGTTTCTTGTGATGAAGATTTTTGCTACCAGATAAGTGGTGGTCCTCTTTCAGGGTGCAAAGCTAATATGTCGTGTCCTTATCTTGAGATATATGGAGATGGGAGCTCTACTGCGGGTTATTTTGTACAAGATATTGTGCAGTATGACAGTGTAGCTGGGGATCTCAAGACAAAAACAGCTAATGGGAGTGTCATATTTGGGTACGTTAACGTTCTCGTTTTACATAGAATTTGCAGCTCTGTTAGAATTTCTTTCTGTTCTCACTGAAAAGAGCAGAACTTCACCTTGCTTGTGGTCACAGTTTTATATTGTTTGTCAAGTGAACAAAAGAAAATATATGGGAAATGGCTGTAGCATTGATTAGTTGGCAAACAATGCTTAAAGCACATACAAAGGCCAAACAGATAAAATGTGGTTGGTTAGAGAACAAATCTTAAGATTCTGGCACCTATTCCTTTTTTTTTAAAAGTAACATTTGAATTAGTTCTCCACCATGTATAGTGATATTCTCATATAGTGAAGTATCACAGATAAACCATATGCCTTACCGAAGTATCTTATGCTTTTGATTATGATGATTGATTGGTTTGCTTATCTTGCTTAGATATCTTACTAATCACAGCTCATTTCTTATCTTTCATATGTATCTAGTATTCTAGTTATCCATTACAATTTATTACCATTCCTCTTGCAAGGAAGCTTAATCCGTCATTCGTCATTGCCTCTTCCATTTAATGTTTTGATATGGTTTTGAAGCTGTGGTGCTCGGCAGTCAGGAGATCTTGATGCTTCTAATGAAGAAGCACTTGACGGAATACTTGGATTTGGAAAAGCTAATTCCTCAATGATTTCCCAGCTGGCTTCTTCGGGGAGAGTGAAAAAGATATTTGCTCATTGCTTAGATGGAAGAAATGGAGGAGGCATATTTGCTATCGGACGTGTGGTGCAACCAAAAGTAAACATGACACCATTGGTACCCAATCAGTATGTCAAGATCGTTTTACTTTTCTAGCGTTTTTGCAATCATATGCTGCAAATGCAATAATTACCTTTTCAAATTGGATAAAAAGCTTAATGAGATACTGCTAGATGCAGCCACCACGCTATTCCTGTTTGAGACTAATCTTATACGCTCGCTCGCCTAGATAGAAAGCTCATTCGAGTACATTGGAATGGCTGGAGTTTTTACTTGAAATAGAGTGAATCTTCTTGTGTTTGCTGGTAGGGAGGAGGAAATAAAACTAGTCTATGTTACTTGGAAAGCTTCTTCTGAAGTGTTGAATGTGTTCGTTCTCTAGTTCTTTTCTGTTAACATACTTTTTCTTTTAATTGTAGACCACATTACAATGTCAATATGACAGCAGTTCAAGTTGGTCAGGAGTTTCTCGATATTCCAGCTGATTTATTTCAAGCGGGAGATAGAAAAGGAGCAATTATTGACAGTGGTACAACCTTGGCCTATCTTCCAGAGATAATCTACGAACCATTGGTGAAGAAGGTACACTGCTATGAAATTTCATGTTCTCAAAGAAATTTAACTCTATTCTCATAAATCTGGTACTTTTGTTAGATAACCTCGCAGGAGCCTGCTCTGAAAGTTCACATAGTTGATAAAGATTATAAATGTTTTCAGTACTCTGGAAGGTTAGTCTTATGAATCAAATGCATCTACCAAGAATATTTTTGACATCATCGTGAATGGTTTGCGTGTAAGCAACTGCTCATGTGCGACGTCAATGTACATTACAATTGTTTTCTTACAAAACGACATGTTACCTTTGCTGCAGAGTTGATGAGGGGTTTCCAAATGTCACTTTCCACTTCGAAAACTCAGTCTTCCTCAGGGTTTATCCTCATGACTATCTGTTCCCTTATGTAAGCATCTTAAGTTTTTATGGTTGATTTTGCTCTCAGTCTTGCTATCCGTGTCACCTCTTACTCATAACACCAAAATTTCACAGGAAGGAATGTGGTGCATTGGTTGGCAAAATAGCGGAATGCAATCGAGAGATAGGAGAAACATGACACTTTTGGGAGGTATCTTAAGAATACTCATATAACTTTATTCACCTCTGATCCTTCTTTCCATTACTGTTTAAACGGGTTATCCTGCAATACCTAGTTCTAGATCTTGTGTTGCTGGAAAAAGACCATGTTTGATTCAATCCAGTGACCCCAATGTCTTACATTTTCTTCTGCAGATTTGGTCCTTTCAAACAAGCTTGTTCTCTACGATCTAGAAAATCAGGTCATCGGGTGGACTGAGTACAACTGTAAGTGTTAGATCAAGATTCATGTTTCATAGTGATTGTGAAAGATTTTGAATCTGAAACAATTCATCTCTGTTCTTTCTTTCTCTCGCCTTGCAGGCTCATCGAGCATAAAAGTAAAAGATGAAGGAACAGGAACAGTTCATCTAGTAGGCTCACATTATATCTCTTCTGCATTTCCGTTAGAAACGTCTTTGCTTTTACTTTCTTTACTTCTGCTCACTACTCTTTTATTCCTTTAGAAGACTCTTTAATAGTTTCTCTCTTGTACATATATATTCAACATTTTGCTCAAATGGTAAAAAAGAAAAGTCTTGAATATAGATAAGTAATCCAAAGAAAAACCAAGCAGATTGATGAACAA